TTGCTCCACTAGGGCTTGTGCCCCCATATCTTTCATTTGGAGCCCCTAATCTCCAGGAGGCTGCCCCCCCACACACACACACTGCCATCCACTGTCCCTGGCTGAAAGAAAGGTCCCCCTGGATCGCACAGGGAGGCCCCTGCGTAAGCATCCCTCCAGCAAAGCAGTTGCCACCACGCAGCCAAACCCTGTGGCAGGAGAGCTGTCTTTCCTCTATAAAACCAGGCATACTGAATCTGTTGCTTTGCTTCCCAGGCAGGTGCACTCCCCACAGCCTGGAAGGGTGCGCATGGCTGTTCAAGCAATGATAATGTGGCAGCAGAGGCTGTGAGCAGGCAGAGCTTGTTGGCCTCTGCAGTCCATAGAGATGGCAGGGAATTTCCCGAACCCCTCTTCTAATCTAAAACTTCTGGGCCAGGAATAATCATGCAACTAAGTTAATAAGGCCCCTCTTAGAAACACTTACGAACTCAGAGAGGTGCAAGTAGATGGGAGGAGGGAACGGGTGTTGAGGTGATGGGGTTGGGACATGTTGCAATATTTTGATTGCACTTGGAATTTGTCTTGTCTGCTCTGTTTTTCCATCCAACAGTTTGCAATTCCTGGTTAGGGAGCAAAGGACAAAGGTTGGGGCTGGGGGTCTATCAGCCTCTTCCAGCAACCCTTTCTCCCAGTTTCATCAGGCTGCAGTGACTTGGAAGGAATCTGACCCTTGCATTTCAACATCCTTGTGTTTAAGCAACAGCGTTGAGGAGGCTCTGTGTTTTAGGGTAGCGGGGGGTCTCCACTACAGGCTCGAAAAAATGATGCTGATTGGCTGCTATTAGTTTTTCCTGGGGGAAATAGCTCAAGGAAGTAAGCCAACCCATATGGGTCTGGTGGTGTGCCAGTTCTCCAACCAAGGGCCTTTTTATGAGAGTCACAGTTCAAATGAGTTGAACCTGTTTTCAGGAATAGCAGTCAATCCTGGAGAAATTCCAGGATATTCTTGCGAAGATTCAGAGTACATTTCCTTCTGCTTTGGCCCAGAAATGCAGGCAACTCCCAGATTGTAACTCATAAAGAGTGTCAGGAAATATCAAGGACTTAACATTACCGAGAATGCTATGAAATTCTTTAATACAATTGCTCTTATGGGACTTACTAGTCTTCAAAAGAACAAAAACCCTGAAGAATTGCCAATTGTTTCTCTTCACACCCGGATGCTGGTTGCAAAGACTTGAAATGGGGAAAAGAGAACAATTTCTCAACTGATATGTGAAACTGAACTGTTCTTAAGAACAAAATAAAAACCTGCCTGTATTCAGCATCCTGTTTCACCTACTGGCTAACCGGATGTTTTTTATATAGTTGTTTAGTTATTATTCAGATATCTAGCAGTATGTCCTCAAACCTTTCATGCAAGCTGTTTATTTATAGCATTGTGACCCTACGCCTTCGCCAGAAAGGCTGATGGAGTGGCTTCCAAAGATCACTGCTGTGACAGTTCATGTTCTCAGGCTTGCAGTCTAAGAGACACGACACAAAAGGAAATGGGGATGAGGGGGAAACACGGACAGGCTCAAGGTCTTACAGGGACCAGCTGGGGTGGAGACAGGAAACTGGGGGAAGAGAGTGCTACTGTGCAGATGGCAAAAGGCCAAAGGCAGCTAGCGGGTGTCCCTGTTGCATGTCCTGGCTTTAATTCCTCCCCACTGTTATGGGATAGAACTCTCTTCTTTTGTTTGTCCCAATTCTATGCTATTTATCAAATGAAGTGGGTTACCTCTAAGTTCAGCCATCAATTTCTCTCAGTCTCTTGATTTTTCCCCAAGATCCTTGCTATTCCTTGAGAACCAGCGTGGCCTTGTGACTAGAATATTGGACTGGGACCCAGGAGATCCAGGTTCTAGTCTGCTCAGCCATAAAGCCCACAGGGGGACTCCCTGGGCCAGTCGTGGCCTTTCTGCCTAGCCTACCTCACAGGGTTGTTGTCAGACTAAAACGGAGAGGAAGGTTATGTAAGCCACCTTGAGTCCTTGCAGGTAAAGTCAGGGGGGTAAATAAATTTATTATTTGTTTATAATAAATAAACAATAAGTAATAATTTAAACTACCATGATGGGCAAGAGGCTTTACAGATCCAAGGGCTGTCGTTATGGTTTGGCTACTAAAAGTGCCGCCGAGGAAAGAGCTGCTCTGAGAGAGCCGGGAGCAGGGAGGACTTGTGCCCGGAGGGGGTGTGCCAAAAAGAGGCCAAAAAAGTCGGGCCAAGAGAGAGGGTGAAGTTTAAATCCAAACTGTATTTCAGCAGGTTTGTGAAATACAGCTTGAATCAGAGTGGCATCCGAAGGGCCTTGGGGGGTTTCTGGCTGATACGGTTGGCGGTTGTATCGAATGCTTGGTCCGTGTGTGGAACATGGAAAAGACTCGGGCAGCTGATACATTTGCTCTTGAGTAGTAGAGCTCATACACACCCATGCTGCACCCCAGACCTGGAAGCGATGAAGCAAGAGAGAAGACAGCCTGATTGCAGGTGGAGGAAAAGTCCTCTCGGATGCAGCCGAGTCCTCGTGTGTGCCTGTAGACCAGGGCCTTTAGAGGCAATGAGGGCAGGAAAGAAACAGCCTCCCCCTGCTTCTCTCTGCTGCACAGCAGAGCTTCTTAAGTCTCTTCAAAAGAGAGCCTGCTTAATGCTCGCTCCCAGGACACCCCAGGCTTGTCTGAATCGCACTGCAATATCATGTCAGCTGTTTCCAACGTAACCGGGGGGTACCAACTCGCCTCCGACATTAGGTTGTTTTATTTGGTTTACTACATTTCTGTAGTGGCATTTTATGATGCACTATTCTTCTTTGTTTTTTATGAATGCTGTAAACTGTGCAGAGAGTTTCAGCTATTGGACAGCAAAGAAATAAAATCTATACATACATGCATACATACAAACAGTCCTGGGGATCCACAAAGCATAGACTGTAGTCTTCTATTTCTCTGCTCCTGCCACCTTCATGTCTAAACATCCTGAGCACCATTCCAAAATCTATCACCACTTCAACGAATCCGCTGACTGCCTGCAGCACAAACCATGCAGGATCCATCCCTCGAGCATTCCGGGAGCTCCTCTCGCCAGTGGCCCAGGCTTAGAATATCGCGATCCAAGGGGAAGTCCGTGAAGACTTGTGAAACACAGTTTGCACCACTGGCAATCTCCTTCCACATCACGTGCAGCCACACAAACAAAAGTTGCTGCACGTGGAGGGGAAGGCGGACGCTGGTGGCACAGAGGTTGTGCGGACTCCATTCCTGGTTAGAGCGACGGGGATCCTGGGCATGTTTGCCAGGCATTCAGACTCATGGCTGCAGCATCGTGGACTGGCATCCGGAGCGGAGCACAGGGAACCCGACCCCAAAATGCGTCCCTCACACATCCCGGCTGACGAGCACACAGGAGTCCGTGTCATATTAGCCTGACACTTTCTGCTGAGTTACTGGTATTATTTTAGAGCATTTTAAATTTTAGCCTTTTTTAAAGTAAGTTTTATTATTATTTTTCACTAGCTAACAAAAAGAAAGTAAAAGCCATCAGTCATCAGAAGCATCAGACACATTGGGTCAGCCCCCCTGTACTTTTTTATAGTAATCCGTAAACATATTTAAGTCTATGCATAGTTCCGTTTCTCTAGCCAATAATAAAAAGAGTTCCAAGTTTGATAGAAGTATGTATCCTCTTTCTCCTTCAGAGACAAAGTCCATCTGTCCATTTCGGCACAGTCCAAGATCTTTTTTAAAATCAGTTCGTTGGTAGGTGGTTCTTCGCTCCTCCAGTGTTGGGCAAATGCAATCCTCGCTGCAGTAATTACATGTAGAATCAAATGCTTGCTTATTTTATTTTATTACTATTTATTTTTGGATTTATATCCTGCCTTTTTCCTACAAAGGGCTCAAGGCAGCTTACATCATTCTCCTCCTCCATCTTATCCCCACAACAACAACCCTGTGAGGTAGGTTGGGCTGAGAGTCTGTGACTGGCCCAGAGTCACCCAGTTGGCTCCATGGCTGAGCGGGGACTAGAACCCAGATCATCTGAGTCCCAGTCCCATGCGCTTAACCACTACACCACACTGGCTCTCAACATCATCAGGTACAATGCCTAATAAGAAAACTTCAGGCTTAAATATTAGAGGTTTTTGTAACATTCCGTCAAGCCATTTATGTATTTTAGCCCAGTATTTTTTGCCTTATCACAAGTCCACCACATATGATAAAAAGTACCAGGTTTATGTTTGCATTTCCAACATCCATTTGACGTATTTGGAAACATCTTAGCTAATCTATTTGGTGATAGGTACCATCTATAAAACATTTTATACAGATTTTCTTTATATGAGGTTGCTAATGTTACTTTAATATTTCTTTCCCACAACTTTTGCCATTTCTGTAGCTCAATATTGTATCTAAAATTTTGTGCCCACGTTATCATAGTTTCCTTAACTTGTTCATCTTCCATTCTCATATCCAAAAGAAAACTACAATCTTTTAATCGTTTTCGCATCTGATTTTAAGATCACTTGGTCAAATGTTGTTAATCCTTATAGAACCCCCACATTTTATAGTCTTTAACATATCTCAATTGTATTTGAACCTTATGCCACCAAGAAATATTAATTCCCGCACTTGCAGTTCTTGGTTCGGTTTCAATCCTCCGTCATTATCCAGAATATCATCATATCTCACAATCATATCAAAATTCAATGCATTTGGATATACAAGAGCTTCCATAGGTGAAAGCCATCTTAGTAATTTAGTGTACATTTTTTTCTTAGTTTTTCCCACACTGACATTAATGACTTTCTAATATAATGGTTTAAAAAGCAACCATCTGCCTTATACTTCTCATACCACATATAAGCGTGCCAACCCATTTGCAAATCATGCCCTTCAAGAGAAAGGATTTGCTTATTTCTTAAGGTTATCCATTCTTTTAGCCATGTTAAGACAGAAGATTGATAATACAGCATCCAGTCAGGAAGACCAAAACCCCCATTTCCTTTGGCCTCCTGAAGCATTTTTAATTTAATCCTTGTTTTCTTCTTTTTCCTTACAAATCTCAAAATGTGGATGGTTAGATCATCAAAGAATTTTTATCAAAACTTTTAGTCTTCTTGCACCACACTCTTGGTATTGTTGAACCATTGTCAGCATTTTCACTTCACTAATTCAGGAGCAGAAACCGCATATATAAAAATGCATGCCTACTTCAGACTCCAAAAACCACAATGTGATGTTTTGAAAATATCACAAGTTTTGGTTTTGCTTGTTTCCTTAAAGGAAAATTGCTTACACTGGAGGGGCTAGTGTACAGCTGGAAGTCAGTGAAAAGCAACTTTGTAGCTGAATTTTCTGCAGAAATTTGTTGCCCAAGCACTGGAAAGAGAACTTTCCTCCCCTGTATTTTGCACACACCAAAGTTATTACACAGACACGCTCCACATGCTGGGAGTTGTAGGCCATTTTTCTGTGTTGGATTGCACCCTTAGGGGGTTGCTCTGATTGAATATTGATAACAAACAAGGCCTATCCGCAACCCATTGGAGGGATTTCAGTTCTCCTCTGATAAATTCTGCATTCTTTGTTTTTATTACTACCACTTCAAAAGCACTAACTAGCAGTTTTCTAAGCACTGTACATATGATAAAAGATAAGAAAGAGTCAGCTTGGAGGCTCACATTCTAATAGGCATTATGGAAAAGGAAAGGGGAAAGCGGGAGAGGAGGAAAGCAAACATAGCCACTGTGTTTTCGCTGTCTGATAAATGGGACAAGCCCATCCCTGCTCTGCCATGATGCTCTTCCCGGGAGGCGGGGAGGCATGCCCTTGTAGTCCATGGCCATCTGGCTGGTGGAATTGGCCAGAGCATGCCTCTTGTCAGCCCTGCAGCTCCTTATACAAATGTAAGTTCCCCCACTGGGCAGACGGGGAACCCACACGCCCACACATGCCTACACACCAACCCTGGTTCCTCCTTCAACAGCAGGAGTGTTAGAGATGAGCAGATGGCATGAAAATAAGGATGGTGCTTCTTCGGGCTTCAAGAATGACGTAGGAACAAGGGTTAGTTAGAAAGCTGGCAACGACTTACGCCTGTCCGCCTTTGAAAGGCCAAGCCATCCGTCCCATTGACCCCTGATAGAATTATTTTATTTGCTTGCTTGCTTGTTTAAAGCTGTTATATCCCACCCTTCACAAATTCTCAGGGCGCATTAAGGCTGATGCACACCTGATTGTCTTGACTCTGTTTAATTCAATTCCCCTTTTCTCATTCCAACCAGTTTCCCCATCTGCTGGCTTGGTTCTGCATGACGAAGGGGAGAAGAAGAGAAGACGGATCTCCCCTTCCCCCAAGCCCTGAGATTTTCTCAGGGCTGCAATCCCCGAAAGACTTCACAACATGAAACTCTTCAGGAAATATCTCCCACTGGCATTACTTCTGGGTAGGTTCTGTGATGCTTGTTGGTCTGACATACCCATAAGTACATCCCACAGTTTTGCAGTGTGGCTATTCCACAATTACTCCACCCCAATTGCAGTCTTATCTTAATCCTGGCTGTGCTTAGGCGGCAGTGAAATCACACTGATAGAATGGAAACGTCTAAAGAGAAAGAGCAGATCAGTTCCCCACTCTTTCCAATTTCATATTTGGATTGGAACTCAAAACTTAGCATCAGCTGAGAAAAGTGGCAGGAATCAGGTCAAAAGCAACGGCTTGGTCCAACTCGCTTTCAAGGACTTTTCTGTCCAATTCCCAAGCAGTGAGAAATGCTGACTTAAAACTGAGCTGCTCCTGTGCTGGAACACACCTGGATGGAAAGATGGGCAAAGCCCTGGCTGCTGGCGGGCAGGAAGTGCCCACAGAGATAGGTGTGCTTTTAGACCTTAAAGAGAGGTGTCATCTGAGAGGCTGACATGGAAGATGATGGAAAGTGCATGTCCGCTGCAGGAAGAAGAACCACAAAGGGCGGAGAAGAGGCAACGGGTGTTCAGTGCATGCACACAAGAAGGGCATGGGCTGAAAGGCATAAAGAGATGCTCTGGACAGGGCAAGCAGGGCTGGGAGTGCGGCTCAGGCAGAGGAAGCTGACCTTTCTGCCTTGCCGTGCTCGTGCGTGGTCTCACCACCCACGTGGTCTCTGTCCTGCTGCTGCTCTGCACAGATCAACTAGAAGCAATAGGAGCTTCCCCGCAGGGCAAACAGCAGCTCTCGGCCGTGATGGCACCGAGGGTTACATCATTCCCTCCCCTGTGCTGCTATTCCAGTGCTGCTTCCCCACCCCCACGAACGCTCCCCGACAGGCTGTGCTTGCTATCCAAGGCCCTCTTCCAGGGGCCTCCTCCGAAGGATGTTTGGAGGTGGCATCAAGGAGAGGGCTTTCTCGCTGGTAGCCTCCCACTTATGGAATAGTCTCCCCATCCAGACTGTTCTTTTCAGAGCCTAAGACCCCCTTCTTCTCTCAGATATTGGGCAGCATGTGATGATTTTTTAAAATTAGATCTTTTTATTTCTTGTTGATTGTTTTAAAGTATTTATATATACTTTATTTATGAGTCTCTCTCACTCTGAGTATGTTGTATATTTATAGGCTTGTATGTCTGTGGCTTTAGATTTTTTTCAAAGTTTTAATCTTTAGAAACCACTCAGAGAGCTTTGGATATTGGGCAGTATAGAAGCATAATCCTGTAACTAAAACCTTACAATGAAATCAAAACCATGAAACAAAATCGAGGAAATGAAAATCTTTAAATGTTATACACAAAAATCTTAAGGCTTTAATCTCTGTGAACCAACCAGAGGGCTTTTCCTACAGAATGCAATAAATGCCGTTCAAAATACTGCCAGAGAACGACGGTCGTCAGATTGCTACCTGGAGATCACAGCCTGACCTTTGACAAGGCATGTGCAGTGGAAAGCGAGCCTTCCCTTTGCCTCCAATCCCTTTCTTTCCAAGGCCCGATCTCCCTTCCCCAGCCACTGAGCGCACAGCTGAAGTTTATTCGTTAACTTGTTATATTTGCATCCCACCTTTCTCCCATTGTGGAACTCAAGGTGGCGACATGTGGTTTTCCCAGGGGTCTCCCCTCCAAGCTCAGGCCAGCCCCAGACCTGCTTAGCTTCCACATGGTGGATCCCTCAGGTGCTCCAGACCATGCTCTGGCCCAGTTCAAGTCCCTTTTCCCTGTCCCACAACTTTTTCTCCAGTTCTGGTACACAGCCCCGTCTCTGCGGCCTGGAACTCCTCGCTGCCCCGCTCCATCGAAGCCTTACAGGGATCCTGCGTAGTCATCCCATGCGCGTTCAGCTTCCCCGGTTCCCGCGAATCCTGGCCCGGCAGATTCAGCGTGGCTTGGTACCAGTACCGTTCCCGGGGGTATCCTGAAATCTACAACAGCAAAACCCCAAGCAGCGTCCTGTCTGATTACATGGGGCGGACAGAAGTGCTTGGAGACCTCGAGATGGGCAACTGTACCCTCAGCATCAACCCTGTGCGTGGCACGGATGCCATGAGCTACTACGTCTGGATCAACCCAGATTCAGTCAAGCACCGGTTCTACGACGTCACCGTCCGGGTGGTAGTGACAGGTGAGCACGATCTTGCCGTGTGTGCGCCACCTCGGCCCGTGATCCGTGGCTCTCGGCAGCCATAGCTGGAGCATCCCCGTCTATAACGTTGCCGGGGGAGGAAATGCCTAGCAAGTGGAGGTGCAAAGGCACAGCAAAGGTGCGGAGGGGAGCGAGGGGTCAAGCTGTTATGAGTTCGGCATCCCCTCCCAAACGAGACAGGCACTTCAGCTATGACTGGAAGAGTCTTTGTTCCCTATGGAAATCAGTGTATACACAAGCCTCCAAAAGGGGTGGGGGAACAGTGCCAGCCCGGGCACTGGCGTTGGCACTGTGTATTTCCCTCGCACTGGGAGCAGTGGAAAGGCAGCATTCAGCCCGAGAAAAGTGCAGCCCGGAAAGGCCTTGGCCAGCAGGTAGCAGTGAATTCTCCTTCTCCAGTTCCGCCCTGGCTAAGCGCTTTCTCACGCTCTTATGGCACCTGCCCTTGCTTAAGCCCCGCCTTTCCAGCCAGGTGCACATGAGTGAGCCGCACTGACCTCAGTTTCCCAGTCAGTCCTCCTGCAAATGCCAGTCACCCCTTTCCCCGACTTTCCCAGTGATCGCGACTCCCGTGCACCCATTTCCCACCTGCCACTGCTCATCCTTCTTCGATGGGCTTTTGCTTGCAGACATTCTGAAGCAACCGGAGCTGAGCAACCCGGGGTTACTGACAGAAGGCGATCGCACCTTGGTTACCTGTTCAACCCTGCACACCTGCCCTTTGTCCCCACCTACCCTCATCTGGAATCATCTGGGGGCCAGGGCTGTTACGATCCAGGAACGTTTGGCAGGGGGTGTCTGGAGGACAGAATCGAGGTTTAGCTTCATCCCCATTTACAAGGACCACGGCAAATATCTGCAGTGCACCGCCACCTTCCCAAACAAGGAACAGTCTCACCGTGGGATCTACCTACAGGTTAAATGTGAGTGTCTGAATATGGTAATCCAGGATGATGGGTTCTAGGTTCCTTCTCTTCAAAGCCACGGCTCTCGATGCTCTGCCACTCAAGGGTGATGTCCACTTTAAATTTTCTTCCACCCAACATGAGGGGTAGTTATTTGCTAACTTTAAAAAAATGAAAGCAGACATTTCCACTGCTGTTATTACTGTTGTTGCTGTAAACTGATTGTGCTGGCTTTGTGTGTGTTCTACTTTTATTTTGTCCCACTTTGTATGTGTTTAGAGAGCTTTGTATTTTATGTTGTAAATCTCCCAGAGAGCCTCAGCTATTGGGAGGTGTAGAAATTAAAGAATAAACAAACAAATAATTCTGTTTAAAATGTTAAGAGACCTAGGCCTCAACACAGTGCGAGTTTGCACAAAATAGCTGGCTGAGGAATTATTACTATATTATTATATTACATTTATACTGCACCTTTCTTCTTTCTGCAAGGAACTGAAGGCAGCTTACGAGGTTCCCCTTTTCTTCATTTGAACCTCATAACAACAACCTTGTGAGGTAGGCTAGGCATAAGAGTCTGTGACTGACCTATAGTCACCTAGTGAGTTTCGTAGCTCAGTGAGGATTTGACCCTGGGTCTCCTGAGTCCAAGCTTCATACTCTAATCACTAGGGCTTACACGGTGTTTTTCTCTATTTAAACATACGGATGTCTTATAGGACCACTGGCACAAGTGGTGTCATCTTTCTGGCAGATGCTTGACTTCCTAATTTCATTGCTTTATCCACTCTTGTTTTCAAGCTGTGAGATGCCTTGAGCCAACGCAGTTCTGGAAGGGAAGTGAGGCAACCTGAAGGAATAAATGATCTTATTAGGAACTAGAGTTGTTGGTCCTGGTGGAGGTAGCACTGATATTAATGTATTGTTTACATGTTAATCAGTAATGTTTAATTATGATTATTGTGACTATATTAATTGTAGTAATTTTCTAAAAAAATAAGAAACAAAAGAAACTTCTTCTTTAGAGGAAGGCCTCCAACAATTCTATTCAGGGTTACTCCTCTTGCTGCTACACGGGCCTCTCCCCGTATCTGGCTGTCTCTTCCAGATTCCCCCAAAAATGCGGTCGTCTCAGTGGTGGGGAACCCCGTCCTGAAGGAAGGAGACAGCGTCACCCTGCGATGCAGCAGCCAGAGCAACCCCCCGGCCGTCAGCTACCGCTGGTTCTCGGGGCCACGCAAGGCACCGCTGCGGGTGGCAGGCGTTGGGCCGGTGGTGCAGGTGACGGACGTGCAGAGGAACTCAGGGCCGTACCACTGCGTTGCAGAGAACGACGTGGGCATGGGAGAGGACTCGCCACCCACCTACCTCAACGTGGAGTGTAAGAGGATGCTGCCCTTCTTCCCTTTTGCTGGGCTCTGTTCACGGCCCGGCTGTGTTCCGTGGTTCCGAAAAGCGTGCAATTTCATACCAGTTGCTGGCATCCTGGGTGGAGGCACTTCTTCCCTTATCTACGTCCAAACCCCCTTGCCTGAACAGCTCCGTGACAGACAACCGGTGAGGTTTTTGCAGTCGTTGCATCCGTGTGCCTGGGGAAAGCTTGCCCTGGTGAATGTCAGCCTGCCAGGCACAATGCAGGCGATGGTGCCAATGACATTTAAACCTCCACACAGGGGTGCCAAACCTGGAGAGGCTCCTATTTCTACAGCTTCAACAATTCCTTAATCTGCAGCTGTGAGCAGATAGAAAGGCTGAGTCCAGCCCTGGGAAGCAGCAGATCAGGGCAGCCTGGGCGAGTGAGATTTATTCTGATCTGTCAGTGACCCTCCTTAGTGGTATCAACACAGACATCAGGCTAATGCAGGACACAAACCGGGCCTGTTTTATGTTTTGACTGCTCTCCCTCCTCCGTAGTGCTGGTGGAAGCAGAGCTTTTGCACCTGTGGAAATTGTCTGCACAGGTACAGGATCTTTTTCCTGGGTGAGATAAGAACTATGTCCCGTGGGCTCCCGCTCACCTGCTAAGGTTGTCTGTGAATGCACCTTTCTGAGTTCCACCTTCCACATGGTGCCTCAGAAACCCAGCAGAGAAAAGGCCTTCTCTGTGTCTGTGGAATGCCCTTTCCAGGGAAATCCAAAGGGCATCTTCCTTGCATCTCTTTAGATGGCAGATCAAGACCTTACTCTTCCAAGAAGCTACGTAATTTCTAATCTGTTGCTCTGGTTATTAGCTTTAGTACTGCCTCATAGAATCATAGAAGTGGAGTTGCAAGGGCCATGAAGGCCATCAAGTGAAGCTGTATTTATTGTTCTTGTTACCTTCTGGTTGCTTGGATGTATTACCTAAAGCAGCTTACAGTGAGGCATTATGTAAAATAAATAAATAAATGAGTCAGAGTGCAATACTATGCAAGTTTGACCAAAAAAAGGCATACAAGTCTGAGTACGCTGAATTGGCAGTTTTTGGTGTTGTTTGGAGGCAACAAATAATGTCAGGTTCTGGCTTAAAGGTGGTGGTGCTGGTGGTGCTGGTGATGCCGCCGACGCTGATGAATCTCTGCCTCTCATGCAGATAAGCCCGTGATTCTGCCCCAGGGAAACTGCACCATCTCCAGAACCGGGGAGACCATCACCTGCTACTGCGTGGCAGAGGGGAACCCGTTGCCCAGCATCGAGTGGCTCCTCCGAAACCAAACCATCCCAGAGGTCTTCAACAGCTCCGAGCTGCAGGCAGAGTCTGCCTCTTGGGGGCAGGCCGTCATCGGGGTATTGAGAGTCCCCAATTCCAGCCTGGCCAGTGTGACATGCAGCGCCACCAACCAGCACGGGCCCAGCCAAAGCATACTGCCCATCGTCCAGGCAGGTGAGCTGAGGGCAGGTCGGGAGGGGATGCTGAGAAGCCAAGGTAGAGGTGGAGCTGGCCAGGCGGGGGTAGTCTCCACATGCACGTGATCTCCTTCATACAGAGCTGGGGGCCTCTTTCCAAATTCAGTTTCAGAGAAGCTATCCGGTGCAACACCCCAGTGAATGGGTGGGGCTGAAGGCAAAAACAAAGGGGTCACTCCACAAGGAGCTCGACTGGCCACCAGGCCTGAAGTTACTGCTGGAGTTAGTAAACAGCAGCTGCAGAGTCCTAAACCCATCCAGTGCTGTGACTTTGCAAACCGCAGCTGGACGTGGGGAGAAGATTTAGATGAAGAACAGGCCAGAGCCAAAGTTAAAGCCCACCCTTTGATGAACCAAAGTGTGGATCCCGATTCCACCCTGTTCACCATGTCTGCAAGCACAAACAGGCCCAAGACCTGGAGAACATCAAGCTGGGCTTCTCCAAAAGAATATGGAAAGAGGAACTTGGCGGCGCTGGACTGTCAGGTCATTTCATCCTTGGAGGTCCTTCTCCATCTGCTGCCTTTTACCTGGCCAGGTTAGCAACCTGGCCACTAGAAAGAGGGACATCTCAGTGGTAACACCCAAACTATGCAAATTCCTCTCCAGGTATCTTTGTCTGGCACCTGCCAGGTAAAAGCTCTCCTGCTCTTTAATGGCCATACCTTATGGCTTTGTTTGCCTTGTGTCTTCTCCTTTATTTCTTCTTTGGGATTTTCAACCCTTTCATTACAACCTGCTTTAATATGCTGATTTTGTTGTTGCTTTGCTGTATTTAGTCACTGTGTGTGTGTTTTAATCAAGGCTGCCTGGGGCAAAAGGTGAGCTTTCTTGCTTAGTTTTTAAAAGCAGAAACCCCAAAGTATTTGCGACACAACACTGAACATACTGGATGACTTTGGATCAGTCACGGACTCTCAGTCTAACTACCTTACGAGGTTGTTTTGAGGATACTGCCAACCGGATGAAACCCAAATAATGCATACTTTCCCTTACAACAACTCCTAAAGTGCCCCCCCTGCTCCCCCCAGGACAAAATGAGGACACAGAAGAAGGAAAACAGCCACAATGGACTCATAAGAAGGAAAGAAAAGTGGATCGGCTGAAGGCATTGTTGAACAATCAAGTTTTGGCCAAAGTTCAAAAACACGTAACATGCAGCTCTTCATGGTTGTCCTATAGGCTTCAAATCTATGATGGGCTGTAGAGAAGGGCTGGCGCTCTGTCCCTGTTCAGAAGTTCATGGATAGGTTTCTAGAACTAGAATGGAAAGTGGGTTCTACAGCTGGACCTGGATGTGTGTGCAAGGAAGAGTAGTTGTTTAAAAAAACCCTATCCTGTGTTATAGCATGCAACAGGTGAAGCCCAGTGGTGCAGTCAGTGGGAAGTGCTACCAGCTGAAACTCTGCCTGTCACCTGGTGCAAAAGGCAAGGATGGGCAACTTGGAGCCCTTCAGATGTTTCGGTCTCCAAATCCCATAGTCTTTCCCTGTTGACTGTGCTGGGTAGGCTGATACGAACTGCAGGACAAAGCATCTGGAAGGCCCCTTCCGGGCTGAAGGCTTCCTATCCAGGCTGCATGCTGAGGCCATCGTTGTAAATGCCAACCGCCTGGTTTCATTCTCTCTCCCTCTCCCTCCCTCTGTCTCGTTTTTTCAGGGGACCCTACCCTTCTGCTCATGGCATCTGGGGGTGCTGTTGGGGGCCTCCTCTTCTTTGGCCTTCTGGGAACTGTGGTCTACAAAATGACAGTGAACAGGTGAGAAAGCTAAACTGGGTTCAGACAACACAATGGGAGTGTGTATGAGTTGAACGTGGGTTATTATGGAATCATAGGTTGTTGCCGAAATGTGACTTACCATGTTGTCAGAACCCATGTATGCTAAGAAGCCATGGTTTATTAACCACAAGAAGATAACCCATGATTTCTAGTTGGGTGGTGAGCTGTGGTTTGCTCTCTCAGCTGTGTATCGGGCGACAGACCACATTTCAACCACCCGTAGGTCAGTGACAACCCTCACCCTTGAATGTGGCTTATCATGGTGCCTCAGTCCAGTAACTGAAGGCATGCATAGAAATACTGAAGGCCAGTGATCTCACAAGGCTGGCTGAACCTGGACCTAGAAGCACAAGTTCTAAGCAGATACTGACTTTGATTTATTTAAGGATGGGGGGGAAATCTGACTTGATGACTCCATGTACCATGAAAACATCCTTCTCTTCCATGGCATGCCCCCCTGCCCCACCCCGCCCCCATCCCTACTCCTGTGCCTTTACTCGTGGCAGGATCTGGTTCATCTCCACGCTTCACTCTGCATATCAAGGTTTGTAGGCAGCGGGTTCCTCGCGCCACTGCAACGGCACTCCCTATTTCCCCTTCTGCTAGCAGGAAAAAAAAGCGGAGGCAAGAAGAGGAAGATGACATAGATGATCCTTCCCTGTGCGTCACCGATGGGGCGATGAAACAGGAAACCACTCCTAAACCAGAAAAGCCACACAAATCCAAGAAGGAGACGTTCAACATGTACAGCAAGACCGAAACAGAAATGAGAATGGCTGCTGACAATGTAAGGGCTTCCCCAGGGCAGAACAACACCCCATAGCTTCTCTAGAGCAGTTGTCTCCCACCTGTTTAGAACCTGGACCCCCCTTTGACTACCACCTGCAATGGCAGAACCACTCGGGTTGCAACGTCTGACTGATGGCTCCGTTAGATGGAAAGGATCAGCAGCAAAACATCGACCGTGTGGTTGGTGCTGATCAGGGGCCAGCAAGCTGCACCCTTTTCCAGAATGCTCCCTTGTCTGCCCTGGTGTTCACCTTCTCCCCACCTGGTCATCGGTGGCTGCGTGCACCCCTCATGGCAAGCAACCCTAAGGTGGTTTCCACGGTTTCCATTGCTGGATGTGTCTGACAGAGGATAAGGGGTCTGCGCTCGTGTGGTTTTCATCCTCCTCACCGTTTCCCTCTTCCACACAGTGCATATTGAAAAGTCAGTTCTTCCTGGCTTAGAGGTACCTTCCAAGTCGCTTGATCTCACAAGCTTCTTCTCCCCCTCTCCCTCCCCCGACCCCTTTGTTTTAGGATCTAAGCTCCGAGACTTATGAGGCTATGGGGGTAGTAGAAGATTATAAGACGCTATCAACAGAGGCATCTGCTGGACTTTATGGGAACCTGGGCAACTGGCAGGCCTCCTCTGGCCCGGAACAGATCTACTCCAACGTGTGAGCCGAGAAGAGGATGGAGCAAAGCAGTGTGTCTGAATCTCTTTCTGCTGAACCAATAGAGGAGCGATGCTAGCTAGCCAGAGTGACAACGCGATTCGGAAGAAAGGAGAGCTGGGGAGGTGTGCTGTCAAATTAAGAGACCTAAATAAATAAACCTTGTGGAAGTCTGCAGCTGCAAGGCAGACCTCCCAAAATTCCCCGGGGAGCATTTTTAGTATAAACCCTCGGGACTCCCTGCCACCGGGAAACATTATTAGCATGATCTCCTGGGACCCTCCGTGGGGACTTTGTTATGGGCATAGAAGCTTAGTGGGGAGAATATTTATGGTGTAACCCCCTAAGGCTCCTTCCCATGAGGAATGTTACTGATCCTCACCCCTGGGACTGCCTGCTGAAAAGCACTAGTTTAAGATGCTAGTCCCTAGGACTGCCTGCAGAAGGGTATGGGGGTGTAATAATTCCCTTCTTCTTTTCTAAGACTGAAATCTTTCCTGCTGTGCTGAGCCCTTTGTGTAAGTGGGTTTTACTGTCAAGACTTTCAAAGTATATGTCTCTATTTTTGTACTTTCAGCATGTTCACGCTGCTTTTGTTGCTGTGAGTAATTTGAAGTCAGGGTGGAAGGGTGGATACCGCTCAGCTCTCTCTGCAAGCGACTGCATCACACCAGGCACATGAGGCTGACTGTAGGCCAGGTGCCAATTTTTTTTCCAGAAAGAGGTACCAGCACTTCAAGCCACTGAGTCAGAGCCAGATGCAGGTTCCCTCCCATACAGGTGCCCTTGCAGCTTTCCTTCTGTCACGGTGTATACTGCACAGGGTTCAGCTTGCACCAGTTGAATTTCTGCCTGTTAGGCAGCATTTCAAGGCCCAGAAAAGGTGATGGCCATGCTCCATCACTGTCCTGCATGTTTTTGGAGGAAATGTAGCACAGTGTTGTTGTTATTTTAGTGGCACATCACATTTATATCCTGTCTTTATCTTCTAGAGCAGAAGCCAAGGCAGCGTGCACATGGCAGCTGCTTTCCATTTTGTCCACACAACAGTCTTGTGAGGTAGGATAGGCTGAGAGCCAGCAGCTGCCCTGGGTCATTCGCGCGTTTCGTGGCCAAGCTGGGCCCAGAGCTCAGGTCTCCTGTGTCCTCGTGCACCACATTTTTTCTTACTGACCACCCCAGCACTCTGGCCCTTGGACACCTTTCATGGCACACCTCAGGGTGCCCCTCACCTCCCACTTTAAAGAAAGCAAGGGAGGAAGCTTCCAGCTGTTGCCATCTTCATATTCCATCCGTGCCTTGGGCTACATGGAATGCAGTTCAGAGATATTCTTATGAGAGAGAGAGCGAGAGAGAGAGAGAGCGAGAGAGAGAGGATATGGATGTGTGAGTATGTGTGAAACAGAGTGGAGAGAGGAAGGGAGAGAAAGAGATGCGGGAATAAATAGGGTTCTGCTGGTGCTGAAAACTGTGGGTTAAAAGGCCTTTTTAATACGTTGGGACTCGGACCCCACATGTCTTATATGTACTTATTTGGGTGGGTGGGTTGTCCTTTGTCCTTTGCTATGCCTCCCAAGGCTGCCATTTGGTGTTGGTGCCCATGAGAGTTTCTCAAATTGCCATAGGGGCCCCCAAGCCCCAAAATATTCCCTAACCCTGGCATAGGCGAATGCAGAAGGTGGGTTTGGAGTGGAAAGGGTGGAAAGTGCAAACGCATTGCGCTAGGCAGGCTTTCCTGCAGGCCTTTTGCCTTGGCTGCGCACGGTGCGGGGCCGAATTATGCCTGGATTTGGATCCTTGGATGCAGAGTCCACGCTTTGCATGCATGAAGTCCAATATGTCACCTGCAGCCACAGGAAGACTCAAGGGGCTGGGATCCTTGGAATCATCCCCAAGGACACAATCCCATGCATGCTTAGACATAAAAAAAGTCTAAGCTGGGTATGGAATGGGCTTCCACAGGAGGTGGTTGAGGCCACATCGGTGAGGGTGTTCAAGGATAGGCTGGACATGCACATGGTAGGCATGTCATGAGCGGAGCCGGCTGGAGCCGGGGGGTCAGACTAGATGGCCCGAGAGGCCCCTTCTGACCCGTTCTGTTTCTATGTAACTCCCAGCATTCCCTAGCCAGCACAGGGGACACACAACTAGGTTTCCCAGGGCCCTGATTCCATATCACATTGCTTTAGGTGGCTTTTTGCACTGATCAGGTTGCTCCCCCATTTGAGCTCCTCCCCACACTAAAACCAGCCTTTGGGAATTTCAGAGAAAATGCAGCTGTTTTTGCGAGGGCCTGCAACATTGCCCGGAGAGGCGAGCAGCCCGTCCCCTGAGTCAGGAAGAAAGGACCAGCAGTTCACACTGACAGCATCTGAGATACAAAGAATTTTAATTTCCAGTAACAAAGGAAGTACAAAATAAGCGCAAAACTAGTGCCAAGCTAATAAATAAGTAGAACGCATCTGGGAACGGTGCGAGGAGCCTGGTGTGTGTCCGGTAGTACGAGGAAGGGCAGGTCAACGGTGCCGCGGCCGCCCATCCGACCGCCTCCCTCTTCACGACCGACAGCAGAACCCACATCCCTTCTGCCTGCAGCAGCCGCAGCAGAAGGTGCAGATGGCCAGGTGGCTGGAGCGCTTGCTTCTCTGCAGAGGCACCTGCGGTGGGAAGTGGAGACGCGATTGGCATGGACCGAGAGACACATGGCGCCCGGCTTCGTGCAAAAGGCCCTCACGTCTTAGTGCAGAGACAGATGCAGAATACACGGAAGGGAAAGCATTCCCCTCTGCCCACCCCCCGGCCCCTGAGGTGCAGCATCATCCAGAGAACAGAAACCTAGCAGTCAGGCTTCCTCAGACTGGGGGTCTGGCTTTCCCTGGGCCTGGCTTTTTGGCTTGGCCTGGCAATGGATTGTTAATAGTAATCATGTATATCCTGCCTTTCCTTTTTCAAAGAAAGCAAGGTGAGTACATAGTTCTCCTGCTCTCTATTCTATCCTCACAACAACCCTGTGATGTAGGTTAGCTGAGAGTTGGTGACTGGCTGAAAGCCAGCCAGGAAGCTCCATAGCTGAGTGAGGACGAGAGCCCAGACCTCCTGGGACCCAGCCCAAATCTCCTAATCGGTGTGCCACTGACTTCGTTTTGTTTTTCATTTCTATATCTCACAATAGCCAAAGCACTCTGCGCACTTAACTGGCATCCCAGTTTTTAAAAGGTTTACATTTTATAGAAACTTAGAAAATGAGATGAAATAAAAATTCAGAAGGGACAGGGATTCTGGTGGGTGCCGCACTGGAAACCTAAGGGTAGATCCATTGAAGGCAATTGGACTTTTCTTAGTCATTACTAAAAGTTTCGTTCAGGTAGTCTGCTCTAAGCAGGACTAAGTCTGATCCTGAGGGCTTTTTCTTTTCAAGGATGTGGTTTCTCCTGGCCTGCGACCAAAAAAGGGGCAGGCCAGGAGAAACCACAAATGCTTCAACAGGGCCTCCTTTGCAACTTCAGTACTATAAAAATAGAGGATCCAAGGACTGCAGTCTGGTACAACATATGAACACACACTTGCAAAGAAAGAGAGAGCATCTGTACCACCCCTGTGCATTCACCCTGGAATAATTCAAGCGATGTTTAGTTACAAAGATCTCACCTGCAGTCCAGAGGTTTCTGCTACAGGCTGTGCATTGTATGTATCCAAGCTGCTTTGGTTTTTGTGGGCTTCTGTCTATAAAAGGAGAGAGAGAAGAACTTTTGAAAGGGAATGGGGAACGTACAAAAGTTGACTTTCACTAAACCCGGAGACCCAGTACCTGCTTTCAGCTTCAGTTCACCTCCTCTCTCCTCACTCCCCCATTCCTCTGATGTCTTGCCCCTATCACTGAACCTAGAAGAGCATCGTTTTTACTATGTTGGCCATGTAGCAGGTCTGCACGTTTGCCCAGATAAGCTGCCCTTGTCAAGATTTCCTCGTTGGCACACCGCTTTAAAGCCTCTGTGGGAACATCTGCCCAGTCAAAGGCTGCACTTCCCGTGGATCCTCTGCCGGGGGTTGGCTGCTAGCAGCAAGCAGGGCCAGGGCTGAACGCAGGATGGGTCCACCTCCTCTCTTGGCCACAGGTCGCCCACCCTGAGTTCAAGGCACTCGTCCTTGTTTCCTGAGGGCAGGGAAGCAACAAGCTTGCACTGAAGTTTCCAGGGATGTGGGGGAGATACACCGGGTTTGCTTTGAAAGTGGACCGGTAAAACATAGTTTCTGATGGAGGGTTTGGGGCCCCTGACACACCTGGGGAATTCTGTGATCACGACGGATGAGCTCTTCGAATAAGCCCCACATGGCTGCGCTCTTCACACAGCCCAATGCTTGCATGATGGGAGAGGTGCAGCTGCCGTTCCAGCGGCCGGCTCCCGCCATGGGAACAACGTGCAGGGGACCCTGGCACCTGCCCAGGCCCTTCCAGCAGGGAGGGAGGCCCATTGCTAACTTCCCAAGTCGCGCTGCAGATCAGGCCCAAAGAGGAATTACAGGGGGCGATCTACTGCAGCAGTGCCGGAGGTGGTCCTTGGACTTCCCCTGTAGTCTCATCTCTCCTGTACATTGTCTGTGCTCAGATGCCCCTGGGCCGGAAGCGGACAAAGTCACAGGGCACTTAGACTTCACCAGGGGGAGCTGAGCTACAGGTTAATGACTTTTTAGACACGGTTGCTGAATTGCTTGGGCTACTGTCCCCCAACTTTCCTGGTCACCAAGCCCCACCAGCTCAGCTCATATATGCGGATGCTCCACAACAGCCCTTCCCGGCTGTGTTTCACATCCGCCGAATTCTTGTGAGTTAACAGGTATGCGCGTGAATTGGCGGACTGTGCCCTGCACAGCCCCTGGGCTCTCATATGTGTGCATTTATAGGCATGCGTGTGCTACAGATGAGGTGCATGCACACCCTACCCAGACATGAAACCCTGATGAGAGCCAGTGGCGGAGCTGAACCCCAAAAAGAGTGATACTGGCAACTCCCAGGAAAAGATTTGAAGAAAGCTTCTCCCCAAGGTGCAGAAGGGGATAGTGATTTATACCACTGATAAAAGGGGAAGGGGAGAACGGGGGTTGGTTTCCATTTATTTGTTGGTGGCACTTCTGCAAATGTCGGGGTTCTCGCAGGTCTTCATAGACCTCCCTTTCTGGCATTTGGACTTCATTGCAAAAACACTCCCAGTGTGATCGTCAGAAAAAGAGGATTGCTGGAACTGCATCCTCTCTCTGAGTACTGTTTGCGATGCTGTCCTATCTCGGGCATATCATGAGACGGTAAGGCTCATTGGAGGAGACCATGCTAGGCAAAGCTGAAGGCCGAGGAAAAGGAGGACCGCATGCGAGATGGACTGAATCTATAAAGGAAGCCACAGCCTGGAATTGACGAGAGCTCAGCAGGGCTCTGACAGACGGGACATTTTGAAGACTTTCATTCACAAGGTCGCCATAAATTGGAGATGACTTGATGGCCCATAGCAACCATTTCACTTGCTGCAGCTGTTTACATAATCTAGTTATCATAATCATCCCAAAATTGTAGCTCGCGGTCATCTCTGAGAAAAGAATGGGCCCGTTTATGAGTTCCCATTTAGCTTAGAGGAGTTCAATCCTGTTTTCACACTTTACTACTTAACAACATAAACATTCAAGGGCGGCAAGTTCTAACCAATCTACCCTCCCCCCTCCACCCCGTAATCTTGACTGCAAACTGTAGGAAGCTTCTGAAATCCCATCTCAACATTTATAATTCAATGCTTACCTGCAGTTTGAAGGCACAGAGGTTCCTGGTTGCACCACTGAGAAGAATGACCATGATCAACACCAACTGCAGTTTCATCTTCCTAGTTTGGGATGGTCCTGTTCCTCTTTATTTTGATTGGTTTTCTCCTCTTCTCTTCTAGTCAGGTTGTCCTTTCCCTCTCTGTCTTTCTCTCTTTGGGATAAGCCAAGGTTGAATGATGGCCAGGTGAACAAGAAAGCTACCTTTATAGGGCTGAAGGTCCCTCCCCACACTGTTATCGGCCAATCCGCTCTGTTCCACATTTGGAAGAGATAATCCCCTAAGCAAACAGGTCAACAGACTTATCAAGTTTGGTCAGAAACCCATATTTCCCAAACACAGAGAAACGGAGCCAAATTTCCCAACTGATGTAAGTTGAGGTTGTTCCCTGACAAATCCCATCTTCATTTACGCCACCATTAACTGAGAAGCAGAAGGGATCTAGCTTGCTGCGCAACAGCAGGGGTGCCATGCTTCAGTTCACAACACATTCTTTTCTAGCTTTTCATCTTTGATCCTCTCTGGGATTTTCCCAACTGTTGCAAAAGATTTACTGTAATTTTATGACCTGAGTTCTTTTAATAATAAGTCCTTTGAGCCCATAATAGGAAGGTGCAGTTTTTGGACTAGAAATTCCCATCAGGTCTTGTACTTCCCCCCCATCTGTGATCAAAACAAGTTTCACAAATTTTGAGAATTGTTTAAGAAACAAATTCAATTCTTGGGGAATGCTAGGAAGTGGAGCCATGGCCAGCTCAGGTGTAGATTAGCAAGACATTTGGTAAGAACCAGATTTGGATCTGAAGTAAACCTTTCAACAAATGTGAATTCAAATCAATTTCAGTTCAGGATTCAAGAAGCAAGAACTGATGTCGGTCTTTTGCAGAAGATGCATTTGAGCCAAAAGAGTAATCATAAAGTTGGATGCAATGACTCTGAGTTGGATGCGATCACTAATTGAACTGTAAATTTGCAGAGATCGAAAAATAAGCCAACAATTACATTTGTCTTTCTTTCCAGTTAATTTTGTACCATCTAAAGTGCTGGATCTGGATTTAAGCCACACTGAAAGTAGACATATATAGGTCAATGGGTCTTATGTTTGACATCACTAATTCATGTCCCATTTAATTCATTGGGTTTACTCTATATAAAACTATCCATTCAACCCATGATATATTTGCTTTTCTGAATTACAAGTATTCTATTTCTCTCTATTTCCTAAATGAGACTTTTCAATTACATACCGATTGTAAAAGAAAAATGTAACACTGGAAGCTCAAGACATGAGCATAAAATCGATTTAATCAAAAGCACCCAACATATTTTGAGGCAAGGTGAGAAAATCTTTACAAGCAATAACTGGAAAAGTATTAAGGATAAAATTGAACATATTAAAAGGCATAGCCTGTTCAAATCTGTTTTAAGAATTATTTTGATGAATGTATCCCCATTTTTATTTTAGATGGGTCTGCTCTAAGTAGGACTAAATCAGGAAGCCACTGATTGTCCAGAATATTTACAACCATGCAGCAAAAACTTCATATACATTGAGAGAGCCTGTGATAATCTGCTTTTGAAAGTTTCAGAAAGTAATTTATGATAAGGCAGAGTGAGAGAAGTTTGCTTTTTCTGATTACATATACATATATATTAATACAATTATACATGCACATATTTGTGTCCAAACCCTAAGGCCAACTTAAACTGAGTCCTTTGACTATTTACCCAGGAGTAAGTTTCACTGATGGAATGGGACTTCTCAGTTAACCGATCTAATCTTTCTCCCAGGTTGGAGCTCAGCTAGATTCTTAAAAATTCTTTTGTTTGCACTTTAAGAATATCTAAATTTACCTCAAACCTACATGGTTTAGTTGTTAGGGTAGAATGGAATTAATAAAAATGGTACTAAAACAAACTGTATCGAGATATTTTAGTCAGCAAATGTTTGAGTTTAAAGAAAAAAACAGTCAAATGACATTTCTATTGATAAAATATATGAATAAAAGCTACCCCTGCTTTGAGAAGGTTTGGTTAACAATTTATAAATCTGAAAATTATTAAAAGTCTCATAGTGTATGGTAGAAGTGTACAAAAGCTGAAAAATAAAATAATTCTAGAACATTACAATTATTTATAAAATTTTGCATTGTTAACTTCTCAATACATTCATAATTTTGTAAGATCATATAAATTATGCACTGATTAATTTGGATACATTCTGCTTGTTACAGGCAATCCAGAATGTTTATACTGGATTAAAAAAAATCTTTTAAAACTCAGCCTGCAATTCTATATCCATTTACCTGGGAGTAAATTCCATTTTAGCATTGGGCTTACATGCAGTTATTATCACATCGTTGAATGTATTTGTTGGTTATCTCATATTATGTTTTTTAAAAATTTAAAATATATACCATCCTACATCTTATTGTATCAGGGTGATTTACAAAATGTAATTTAAAAAAAAAGAGTTAAAATTGAGTAATCAATGGCAGAGGTTACATAAAATATTTTGCAACACCAGGTGGCTTACTGCCATTTTTTTTAAGAATAAAAAACAAAAATGTCCATATGCTGAAGTATTAGGAAAGCAGCGTTTTCTAAAAAGAATAATAAAAATCCATTATTGCTAATCTATTTATAATTTTATTAATCTGGCAGTTATTGACAAAATATCCACTTGATTTTATGTAGAGCAAAGAAAAAGTATTACCACTAATTGCAATTTGTTTATACACTCCAATTTCTGAATGAGACAGTATAATTCTTTTTAATTAATTGCTTATCTTTGATTTATCTGGATAGCAAAAAACTAGAAACTTGATTTCTAGTTCTATTAGGAGAATGCTAAGGCTCCACAATTTTGGGTATTCCTGACCCAAAGCTACTCCTTGTGCTCTGTTTCCTTTCCTTTCCTTTCCTTTCCGCGGGGGTGGAGTGGGGAGGGGGGTGCAGGGATATGGAACAAAGTTAAAGGGTTGTTGACTTTTCTTCCATGTCCAAAAGACCTATCTAGGTTGCCGAGAACAAGCACTCTGCTTTTTGAAAGTCTCATTCTGTGGTGTCAAGTCAGAAGCCCATATATGTTGTTGACCAATCATGTCAGGACTGTGCCTTTGTATAAAACAAGATTAAAAGAAAGCCTCAACTATGGGGTAGTATAGAAATGTAATACATTTATTTATGAACAAAATTAATTCTTTAAAACTTAAGAGCAAATAAAAACTAACCAAAAACAAAACACTGTCTGTAATTTGAAGGAAAATAATAGCTATACTTCATGTTTTCTCCAAAGTGATCTCAGTTTTTTAAGTTGTGTGCAATCCCAGATCAGTCTGCTCAGAACTGAGCTGCATTGAGTTCAGTGAGATTCAATCCCAGATAAGTTTCCATCTCAGTTTTTCGTCCTTTCAGGGAGCATTTTACCATCTCCATCCTCAGTCTCTGAACTCTTATGTGCATCCCAAACCCTAATGAGGTGCAGTGGCAGCAATTTCTCTTGCAACTATGCCTCACACCCTGATTTTTGTCTTGATGGCCATTTCTGGCCATCTAGACAAAGTGCAAGGGAGGTCTGGGGAAGGATGCCGGACTGCCATAAGCACTGACATCAGTTCTTGGACCCAGCCTCCTTCCCTTCCCAGTCTCCAGCATGGCCTGTTTTGTCCTTTCCAGGACTCAGTGGCAATCTCAGTAAATTCATTCCACACTGGCTACAGGTGAGGCTGGGATGAGGACACTGCTTCAGTCAGAGGACCTCAGTGCTAGGGTTCTGAAAAATCCTATGGCCCACCCAAATGGTGCAGGGAGGCCATAGGGTTTCACCATTTCTATAAGCATTTCATTCATGGCTTTTGTTTGAGGTGAATATCTAATTGCATGTCATTCTGAAAGATTCAAACAATGAATAATTATTCCAGCAAATTGCTTGCTGAATTGACAAGGATTTTTGTGACATGGAAAGGATTAATTCAGCAGGCTATTATCAACAGCTCTATGGCTTAATTGAGCTACAGTAAAACAGAAGCAGCACCACGTTGGATCAGGGCAATGATCCATTTAACCCAACATTCATTCTGTTCGCAAAGTGGCCACCCAGCGACGCAAAGGATCCCACAAGCAGGGTATGAGTGCAGCACTCCCCCCTTGCCCAGGCTCCCCAGCAACTGGTGTGCATTAGCATAATTCCTTTGATGCGGAAGGTAGTCCAGATTCATCAGGACCAGCGGCCACTGATGGCCTTCTCCTCCATGCGTTCTTGTTCAATCCCCTTTCAAAGCTGCCTAAATGGGTGGCCATCAGTACAGCTATGGAAGTGAACTCGAGGTTTAATAAAGCGCTGCGTGAAGAAGGGCCCCCTTTTACCTGTTCGGAAGCTCCCATCAGTCAGTTCATGGGGTGATGCTCTTGGTTCTAGTTTTATGGGAGACGGGGGCTTTTTAATAAAGGAAATGCCCCCCTATCCAAATTGTCCAAACCATGCATCATTCTGGACCAGTAGTTCTGCAATGCTGTCATATCTCACCTTACTGCCTTTTGTCCTGAAAGAAACAGTCCCAACCTTTCCTCATAGGGGAGGAACTCTAACCCATTGACCTTAAAATATCAATTCCCCAAATTAAAACTGGATTATGGAAACCAAAAATCAACTGGTTTATAGCTTGGAGAACAACTCGTAAAATTGTTCACAAAGAAAACTGGCAAACAAAACTGAGGCTGGTATGCATTATTGCAAACATTTATGTCAATGTGTTTTAATCTGGAAGAAAACTCCCAATGGTTAATATATCAATACATTTGAAACTAGAAGTATAATATAAATAGATGATTTAACAATTCTGTGCAAGCAGCAGAAAAGTCCAGCCATCCTGAGCAGAAGTGCTAGTCCCCTTTTAGCCTGAAGGCCAAATGCCATTTCAGAGAATTTCTCTGGAGGTACTTTCCAGTGGTGGCTGGGGCTAAAGGCAAATGGAAGTAGGCTAAAATAAAACACATTCTAGGTTAAAGCCCTTGCTGTTGAAAACTTAGCAAATACTGTTCAACCCTTTAGAACAGGAGAGAAACTGCACAAAATCCAAGAAAGTCCCAAATAATTGTCAGGAAACCACCAAATTTACTTATTTATTAGATTTATATCCTGCTTTTATCTTAAAATGAGCTCAAAGCAGCTCAACTCATTCTTATCCCCCTG